CGGGCGGCAAGCCCTGGGCGACCCTCCGCCCGCGGCATCCCTGTCCCCATCCTGTCCCCTTGCCTGGAGAACAGCATGGAAGGAAGACGTTGGTCCTGACGGCTTCCCTCACAGAGCAGTCGGGAGCACCCGCCTAGGTGTGCTTTACCCCGCCCTCCTTTACAGCACGTTTTCTCTTGTGGCTTTCTTGAAGACACTGTCATCCTCTTAGGGCCTGTCAGTCCGATCACACGGGCCCAGCGCCCTACCTCTGACTGGGGCAGGAAGAGTGCTGTCAGACCTGTTCCGTGTTAGACATTCCGGACCGTTCAGAGCGAGGTAGCTGCTGCGGGAGACTGTGGTTGGCCGTGGTCAGTTAGCTTTCAGCTGAGCTTCCTAGGCCCAGAGATCGCTGTAGTGTAAACGGAAATAACTGCTTTGTACACAAAAACACGTAATGATGGTGCTAATTTCATGGTATACGCACTGCCAAGGGTGGAGGGGCTGCAGCTGGAGAACCGGGCTCCTGAGTGGGAGGAAGAGCCGAGTGTGGAAAGGTTTCTCGGAGCCTCCGTTAGACATGGGGAGAAGACGGAGCTTCAGTGAAGCTTACACCCAACCCCGGAGCAGTCCTGCGCGGCCCACAGGTGGGAGAGCACCTGGATCCAGATGCAGGTGACCACTGAGTTTCTCGAGGCCAGGGTCACCTTGTCCATGGCCTCTGTCCATGCTGCTGGAACAGGCTGGAAGAGCACTCTGCCTGTGGGCACCCTTGGTACCTCCTGCCCTCCCTACCTCTTCCATTCTCGTGGGAGCATCTCCATTGCTTATGAAGATGAGGGTGATATTTCTTAAGGAAGTGGAGAGAGTTTATTTTAATTAGAAAACCACAGCCTCTGAAGAAATGTTTCCTACCAACATAAGCAAAAAACAGCACGTTAACTCCTGTGGCCCCTTCTCTAGAGCTGCTTTCCCGTGGCTTTCAAACACCAGGCTATGGAGGGACTTCAGGGCCAACGCCTCATGAACAAGAGGTGAGCACAGATGAAGGAGGGCAGAGGCACGGTTCTGGCACGTCTGTCCAGGACCGGGCGGGCCACTGTGTGCTGCTGGTGGGCGTGTGTCAGCGTGGTGAGTGAAGCACACGGGCGCTCATGGGAGAGCAGATTCTAGGTCTTGGCAAAGCAGCAAGCTGACAATAGAGATCTATATATTTTTTAAGGAAGGCGTGGGGTGGGGTCAGCCAAGGTCCATCACTGTTTTTTTGCACCCCCTCCCCATAGATTGTCAGCTGTAAGTGAAACTCCTAGTGAAAAAGAGGGGAGCCCTGTGCTAGGAGTCCCCATAAACATGTACTGTAATTCTTTGTATATAGAAAAAATTACTGTAAAGTAAAGTTTAACTTTACTCTTATGGCCCTTGCCCTGTGTTTTTATTGTCCGTGGGGAAATACAGTTGAACACGAGAGGGAGGACTGGTCTGGGTGAGAGCAGGAAAGTGAGACCCAGAGTTAGCGGGGGGGTGGGGGCGCACACAGCCTTCCCTCTGAGCTATGGAGTGGTGCAGGTTTCCCCCCGCAGCCCCTGGCTCAGCAGCTCTGACCTGTTGAGAATGACTGGTGTCACTTTCGGTGCCCTTCCACAGGAAGCCTCCATCATTCATGAAGGAAGGGGACTTTGAGGAATTGGTTTTAAAAAGGAAGTGGAACCAAAGCACTTTCTTGAGTGTGAGTCTGACAGTGTCAGTAAATTCTTCAATCAGGTGTTGGTGCTGACAAGGAGCCCCGCCCCACCAGAGGCAGGAAGGCGGGGGCAAAGGGTGAGCTGGACCGTGAGGTCCCGGGCCTGCGGCCGCACCTCCCGCACCGCACCGGAAAGCACTGCAATGCATTTCCTTCTGGTCGACTGGAAGCACCAGCCTGTTTACAGCAAGACCCTTCATCCCTCGGAAACACTTAGACCTCCAAGGCCCACGACTCTGGGGTAACCATGAGTTTCCTTCCGCTGACCTAGTCCTTTCAGCACACACTTCTCAGCGTGGGGACAGCATTCCGTACTGGAGGCCCTTCTCACGGAAGAGCCGCACCACCTACAGCCCAGTGGCTGTCGCGTGTTCCGCATGAGGAACTCACGCTGAGGGCTGAAGTCCCTTCTGAGTTAGCTAGATCTGAGTCTGGATCCAGACCACCTTTCTGTCTTGCAGAAACTGTCATCTTTTTTTTTTTTTTTTAAAAAAATTTCTTTTTTTTTTTTTTTTTTTTTTTTTTTTTTAATCCATAAGCCACAGCAGGATGTCCCTGGGAAGCTTGCGATCTGAGTTACAGGCCAGTCGGACCTGCCTTGAAGAAGTGCTTGACCCTTTTCTGGGGACACAGCAAGTGCTCTCCTTACTCCTCCCTCCACCAGGAGGCAGGAGGTGGGCGCTGGACAGAGGATATGGAAGAGCCCTTTGTTCTCCCAAAGGGAAAACCTGGGAAAGTTGCTTGTTTTCCAAAGGAAGATAAGATGGAAGAAGCCTTGATGCAGTGTAGCCAGCCAGGTGGCCCCAGGAGAAGCAGGTGTCTTGACACCCCATCCATAAGCAGGGAGAGGGGCTGAGTGTGGTTCACAGTGCACTGATTTTATTTACAGATCGGAAGCCACTTAAATAGTCTGCAGACACAGGTGCCATCCAGGGCAAAAGCCCGGGGTCCAAATCAGCTCTTAGCCCTCCTCGTGCCCCGCCAGCCCAGTGCTGCTCCGAGCGCTCCGTGGCCAGCACAGGCAGGTGCCACCTCTGCTGCCACGGGGACTGGGTAGCTCAGTCATGTGACTACCCTAGCCCAGACAGGAGCTGGGTCCAGCCCCTCTGGGGAACTCCTTTAATCCCCCAGGCCAGGTGAGTGGTGACTCAGTGGTGACAACAGCTGTAGAAGTAAGGGTTTGCCTTCTGGCCCAGATCCACGCCTTTGTCCTCTGTCAAAGAGAGAAGTGCGGCTCACCCCCTTGCTGAGCCCTGGGTAACCCGTCGGGCCTAGATGCCTGGGCCCCCTAGGCCCCGGGAGGCCTGCACCAAGGCTGAGGAAGCACGCACCTGTCATCTCCTGGAAGGCGGCTACGCTGACGTAGTCCTCTGCCACTTTCTGGAAGAGCTCGTCTGGCAGGAAAGAGGACCATCCCTGAGGGCCCAGTGCCAGCAGCCCTGGGAGCTCCCTGAGACCCAGCCCTCTGGCTTCCTCTGGTGCCCCTGGCTGCTCTGCCAGGAGGCCCCATGGGGTGAACTCACCCACACTCTGCCCTGTCTTGCTGGATGTTTCAAAGAGCTGAGCTTTGATATCTGTAAAGAGAAGTGATGGAAGCCTCACACCTGAGAATCGGGTAGACAAAAGGGAAGGCTTACAGGGAATCCTGGACCCCAAGGGTAGAGGCCAGGAAGTCGTCCTGGCCTCAGTAGACAAGGCAGCCCCTGCTTCCTGTGATCCCGCCAAGCAGCCCCCTTCCCACACCCAAGGAGTTAAGGAGCGGCTACTGTCTGCATAGTCCTGGACATCGTGGAAGTCCACTCGGCGGCGCCGCCGGTCCTCCTCCAGCAGGTCACTCTTAGTGCCACAAAGGTAGATCTGACAGCCCTGGGCAGAAGACAAGGCGGGGGTCACAGCCAAAGAGCAGCAGAGCCCCAGAGCCCCAGCCCCCCGTTCCCAGGGGCCACCTACCTCCTCTAGGCTGCGCAATTCCTTCACCCAGAACTTGGCTCGCTCGAAGCTGCTGCTGTCTGTGAGGTCTTGGGATGCGGCGTGCAGGAGACACAACCACGGTGAAGGGCTGTCCGAGGCCAGCCTGGCACACCCCACTTCTTGCTCCAGGACAGGGCTAGAGACCCTCTTACCATAGCAGACAATAGCAGCCTTGGCGCCTCGGTAGTAGATCCTGCTCATAGCTTCGTAGCGCTCAGAGCCCGCTGTGTCCTGAAAGGCAGGGCAGGCTCAGGCCGGCCGGGCCGCTGGGCTCCTCCCAGGACCCAATCTAAAGCCCTGTGCTCCAGACCCCCCACTTTCCAGATGTGGAAGCCCCGGTCTAGAGAAGAGAAAGGACTTCTGTGCAGCCACTGAGAAACAGGACCCAAGCCTCCAGGGACGGATTCCCCCGCCACTGGATGCCCTGGGCACTTACCCAGATACCCAAAGTCACGGTCCTGTCTCCGACAGACATCACCTTAGCCACAAAGGCGGCCCCGATGGTCTGCAACGAGGGGGAACAGATGAGGTCCCGGGCCGGCCGCCCCTCCCAGTGCCGGCCCCGCGGCGTGCACTCACGTTCTGATAGGGCCCCACGAGGAAGCGGTCGTGCACGTATCGCTCCACGAGGCTCGTCTTGCCCACGTACTCCTTGCCCAGCATCACCACCTTGACGTCCACGCGCTGCCCGCTCATGCTCCCGGGGCCGCCTCGCCGACGTCGGGGGCCGGAGCGGGGTCGGGGCGCACACCCGGGGCAGCGCCCAAGCGCCAGCCCGCGACTGGAGACGCCGCGTCGGGCTCGGCTCCGGCCGCGACCTCGCACCTCTGCAGCGCCCCCGTCCGCCCGGGTTCTTCGGCCCCGGGGCCGACTCTCCTTCCCAGAGCCCAAGACCGGGGCCGGCCCGGGGCGCGGGGCAGCGCCCTCCGCGGCGCGAAG